CACACACACACACACACACACACACACACACACACACACACACACACTGTGGTCTACCAACAGAAGGTTCAGGAATCCAGTAATTGTTCAGTTTACAAGGTTGGATCTCTTTGCTTGTTTTCAGTATATATCAGAATCCTAATGCCAGTGGAGACATGAACTTGCTAGCAAGAGGGAGAGCAAACAGGCAAAAAAGAGCTTGTTCTATTTTTCCACATCCTTTATGTAGGCTGCTATCAAAAGATGTGATGTAGATTAAAAGTGTATCTTCCCACCTCAAAGATCCAGATTAGAAGTGGGCTTTCTACATCAAATGACTTAATTAAGGAGAAAAATCCCTCACGGGTGTATGCCCAGTCACATGGGTTTTATGTAATTCCAGAAGTGGTCAAGTTGCTAGTGAAAAATAACTATGACACACCTATGGGCATTATACAGACAGCCAGATCTTCAGCCATTGACTCGGTTGGCTCATGGGAAAGAGCTTCATTAGGAAATAGCAGACATAACTGAGGCCACGGCGGGATTTTAATCCAGGAATGTGGCTACTCTGGCAAGGATGCACATCCCAAATCTTCTAGGTTTATGAGATCTGGCTGGAATACAGACACATCATTAGCACACACCTTTAATCCCAAACAATGAAAATAAGAATGGTTTGTAGAAAGAAGCAGCCATTTTGAAAGTGATATCTAATTGAGGGCAAAGTGATGAATCAGAGAAAAATTTCACAGAATGAGTCAGAGATAGGATATGCCCAATTCTCATAAGAATAGGACAGGAGAGTAGTCCTACAGGCTACTTAAGAGCAGAGAGACAGATGACAGAGGGAAGGAAGGAGGAAGAGAGGAAGGGAGAGAGAGAGAGAGAGAGAGAGAGAGAGAGAGAGAGAGAGAGAGGTTTTTTTGTTTGCTGAGAGTTTCTTAACAGGACAGTTTTACAGAGACAACTGGCAGAAATAACAAGCTAGACACAAGTGAAGACAGAACAAGCCACAGACGGAGCCAGAAGATTAGAACATATTGCCAGAATTAGTTTGAGGTCAGGCAGAGTAATTCAGTCAGAATCCGAGAGAAACCAGTTTGGAGAGGAGTTTAGCCCAGAACATCTGGGTTGAACCAGCCAGTGATAGTACAGACAAAGCTAGAAAGGCTTGGAAATGGTTTCCATCTCTTCCCCTCTTCTGAGGAAATAAAAAGAACACCTACATGAGGTGAACTCTACGTAGAACATGCACTAGAGAACACATACAAACGGCCTAGTATTAGTAGCTTCATTGCATCTAGTTGTGTATAGGAACATAGAACCCACAAAAGGTTATGTCTAAGGATGCTTATCAGAGGGTCTACAATACATCAGTGAGTGTATTCAGTTAGAATCTGACAACTCAGATTCTAACACAACCAGAAAGGACAATGCATTTCTGAGAGACAGCCTGGATCAGCACCTCTGGCATGGATTCTATATTGTGTGTGTTCCTTTCTTCCTCACACTATTCATTGCCTTGAGAGCTAGAAGGAAAAGAAAACAATATGTGAACTGAAGAAGGACAAGGACCTACATGTTGAGTCAGGTCAGCTTGCTGGCTCGGTTACTTTGACTTACTGTAACATCTCCTACGTGTAGGGTCTTTCTTATTTCAGATCGAAGACCTCTGGGTAGAGGCCAACAGTTTAACCACAAGGACAAAGCCATCCAGTTTTAGTTCAGTCTAAAGAGCTGCCTCTGGCTCTAAAAATCTCTGCTATGTTTGCTTGTTTGCTTATTTTTTTGTTTTTTATGGTTTCAGGAGAACTGCACAAAGGTGAACCGCTTTGTGAACTCTGACTTGGGGAGCTACATCATCAATGTGAGCAGAGCAGCGGAGCTGTGCAGCCATCACCTTTGCAAGAATAATGGGAGGTGCATACGCAAGACATGGACAGCACCTCACTACCTCCATTTGAACCCTGCGAGTTACCACATAGAGGCCTCTGAGGATGGAGAATTCATCGTGAAGGGAAGAGCGTCAGAGGCAGACCTCGCTGTGATGGCAGAGAATTTTCTTTGTCACTGTTATGAGGGCCATGAAGGGCCCGACTGTAGAGAAATGAAAGAGGTCAGTGGCCACTCTGGGGTGTCCTTTTACTCCAGGTCAGTAATAGCACTGTGTCTGCTAATTCTAGCAGGTTATCAAAGCATTCAGTTGTGACATAACTGATTTTAAAGGGAATTGTGTCCTTTAAGTAGAGTTTTAAGGAACAGATAGATTTCACAATTTTTTCCCCTTATGAGTTCCACTGAGAGGCATTATAAGTCAACATATGTGTCACAACAAAACCAGGAACCTATTACTTTATTTGCTATACTGGTTAGAAACCAGATCTAAGAGAACAAAATATTGTATATTGTTTTTCTTACTTGAATGTTTCAATTGTATTTAAATAAACTTTTATTCTTATTCTAATTATATATACACATGAGTACACAAATGGATAATAAACTTATGATTTCAAGGACATTTTCTAGCTATCAGTTTATTTAAGGACAGGCTACTCAGTAACCACCTGATTTAACAGATGGTTCACCTCAGTCACGGCCCTCTCCCTAGTTCCTCAGAGAAGGTGAAATGCAGGTTCCTGTGCTTCACCAGTGTCTGCTTCCCTGCCTAACATGCAAAGGACAGAATTATTACCAAGATGGCTTCTTAGGGGAGTTCAAGGAGCTCACCCCAACTCATCACAAAGGCTTCTGTCAACCACCAACCTCTTCCTTCACAGATCCTACCAGGCTGCATCCCACAAAAAGGTTGTCCAGGGTTGAGGGTGCTGTAGATCCAAAACCTAGAGCCATGTTGATAAAATGCAGCTGCTGACTTTAAAAACCGAAGCTGATTTTAATGAAAGAGATTTAAGAAGCGACACGGCAGAGGCACTGCTGCAAAGAAAGTACAAGAAAAATCAGTTACTTTTTGTCGTCCTCTGCTTCCTATCTAACTTCCGAGTAGCAGACTTGGATTTAGAATCACTTTGAACCTGAGTTGAATTATGCTCTCAGTATCTAGGTGGTGGTATAAATTTTAGCATGTCATTTATATTCTCCTTTCTCATCTAAAATTTGGTAATATAATTTTTTTAACTTTTATTCATTTTTATTTATTTTTTAACTTTTATTAATTACATTTTATTGGCTTTGTATCCCCCATAAACCCTTCCCTCCTCCCCTCCTAATCCCACCTTCTCTCCCCCTTCTGCATGCATGCCCTTCCCCAAGCCCACTGATAGGGGAGATCCCCCTCTCCTTCCTTCTGATCCTAGTCTATCAGATCTCATCAGGACTGGCTGTATTATCATCTTCTGTGGCCTGGTAAGGCTGCGCCTCCCTCAGGGGAGGTGATCAAAGAGCAGGCCAATCAGTTTGTGTCAGAGGCAGTCCCTCTACCCATTACTATGGAACCCACTTGGACACTGAACTGCCATGGGCTACATGTGTGCAGGGGTTCTAGGTTATCTCCATGTATGGTACTTGGTTGGAGTATGAGTCTCTGGGAAGACCCCTGTGTTCAAATTTTCTGGTTCTGTTGCTCTCGTGGTAGAGTTACTGTCCTCTCCAGATCTTACTATTTCCCATTTCTTTCATAAGATTACATGTACTCTGTCCAACAGGAAGGTTCCTAGCTTGTTTCCTGTCTTCTTCTTCTTCTGATGTCCTTCCTCTTTGCATTTCGGGATGGCCAAGATAAAAAACTCAAGTGACAACACATGCTGGAGAGGCTGTGGAGAAAGGGGAACCCTCCTCCACTGTTGGTGGGAATGTAAACTTGTACAACCACTCTGGAAATCAATCTGGCGCTTCCTCAGACAACTAGGAATAGCGCTTCCTCAAGATCCAGCTATACCACTCCTAGGCATATATCCAAAAGAGGCTCAAGTACACAATAAGGACATTTGCTCAGCCATGTTTGTAGCAGCTTTATTTGTAATAGCCAGAAGCTGGAAACAACCCTGATGCCCCTCAACTGAAAAATGGATGCAGAAATTGTGGTACATCTACACAATGGAATATTACTCAGCAATGAAAAATAAGGAAATCATGAAATTTGCAGGTAAATGGTGGGAACTGGAAAGGATCATCCTGAGTGAGCTGTTCCAGAAGCAGAAAGACACACATGGTATATACTCACTCATATAGACATATAATATAAGATACACCTACTAAAATCTGTACATCTAAAGAAACTAATCAAGAGGGAGGACCCTGACTAAAATGGTAATATAATTTTTATCTCAGCAAATTGGTCTGGGGAGTGAATACAGTAGCTTACTTTGTACTTCTGGGTTCTCAGTACCTGTAGCTGGTCCAGGATAATCTCTTGATCACCAAAGCAAAGAAAAGGTAAACAGTCAAGTTGTTTCCTTTCATAGCCAGGGGCCATTTATAATCACTCAAGCATTGTGGTGTGTTCTTGAGGGACACTCTCAGGGGACAGGATTTTTTTTTCTATAAAAATAATTTAATAATAATAATAAGTCAAGAAAGATATGATGCTGATAAAGAAGGAATGGAAGTTGCTGCTGTATCTTCTAAGTCTTTTCAATTCAAGATCCCAGCTTTGTCAGAGGTTTCTATGAAAGCTTAATTCTGATACAAACAAACAAACAAAGCTTTCACAATACTGTGAATGAAACATATGATTACATATATAGATTACTATTTAAAAATCAGATTAATTTTTATTTCAAAGACAATGTGATTAGCATTATGGAACATTTACAAAATTGAAAGAATAACTAGGGAAATCACCAATAAACACTATATTATACACTGGTAACTTTGGAGTAGTCTTTATTAATAGTTCTTATAAAATGACTTTTGTATTGTTGTAATCACATCAAATGCATACTTCTAAACCTGTGTGTTTCAATTAATGATGTGAGTGGTTTCATATCATTTTATAATCTTCATGCATATTATTTTAAAATCTTTTTCTCTTCCAGTAGAAGGATTGAATGTAAGGACTTACACAAACTAAGAAAGTGCGTTAAAGCTTTTTTTTTTTGAGGTTTCTTTTTTTAAAATTATTTTTATTGATTATAGTTTATTCACTTTGTAGCCCACCTGTAGCTCCCTTCTCCCCTCTCAACCTTCCCCTCCCTTCTTTTTCTCCACGCATGCCCCTCTCCTAGTTCACTGATAGGGGAGGTCTTTCTCCCCTTCCTTCTGATCCTAGTCTATCAGCTCTCATCAGGAGTGTTTTTATTTTGAGTTAGAGTCTAAGTTAGGCAGGTTGGCCTGGAACTTGTTATATACCTGTGAACTGTTATGTTTCCTGTCCTGGAACTCACTCTATAGATCAGGCTGTCCTCTAACTCAGAGATTTGCCTACCTCTGTCTTCTTAGTGCTGGGATTAAAGGCATGTGCTGCCATTGCCCAGCTGTGTCAAAGATTCTTACAAGGCTTACTGACTGATTGATTAGGACTTCTGAGATTTCGGTGAAATGTGGTAGGCCCAGAACTAAAACATATTGGGCTATTGTTTGCACACTTAGCAGCCACTCATTGACTACTTCTGTGTTTCACATAAAGTCTTTGTGACTATAAGGTAAATCTCTATGGAATATATGTATGATGCAGAATGGGGCACCACCTCCTTAAGACACAGAGAAGTGCTAAATCCATGAGCCTTTTCTTCTGAAGCACAGATGTGCTATCTTTTCATCTGATCTCAACAAAAAATACTAAGATGTCATCACTTATAAGTGGATATTAGCCATTTAATATAGGATAAACATACTAAAATCTATAGTCTTAAAGAAGCTAAACAAGAAGGACCCTAGGAGAGAGGCTGAAACCTCACTTAGAAGGGCAAACAGGATAGACATTGAAAGTAGAAGACAAGGAACAGGACAGGAGCCTACCATAGAGGGCCTCTGAAAGACTACCCAGCAGGGTATAGGAGGAGATACTGAGACTCGTAGCCAAACTTTGGGCGGAGTGCAGGAAACCTTATGGAAGAAGAAGGAGATAGAAAGACCTGGAGGGGACAGGAACTCCACAAGGAGACCAACAGAGCCAAGAAACCTGGTCCCAGAAGCTCCTGCAGAAACCAATACTACAACCAAGGACCATACATGGTGAGGGCCTAGACCTCCTGTTGAGAGGAAGCCCATTGGCCACTCAGTTTCCAAGTGGGTTCCCTAGTAAGGGGTATAAGTCCTATCTCTGATATGAACTCAGTGGCTGGCTCTTTGATCACCTCCCCCTGGGGGTAGCAGCCTTACCAGGTCATAGAGGAAGATAATGCAGCCAGCCCTGATGAGACCTCATAGGCTAGGGTCAGAGAGAAGGGGAGGAGGTCCTCACTTATCAGTGAACTAGGAGAGGGGCATTGGGGGAGAAGAGAGATGGAGGGTGGGACTGGGAGGAGATGAGGGAGGGGGCTACAGCCAGGATACAAAGTGAATAAATTATAATAAACAAACAAATAAATAAGCTAAAACCCCCAAACCTTTTGTTGGCTACATTTGAAGACTATTAAAGGAACTACTCATTACTCTGAAACACAGTAAAAAGAAGAAAGAATCAGACACTTATTCTGCATTTCCTGTACAATTATACTTGAGGGGAAACAAATAGTGGAGGAAAATTTATTTATTTCTCAAGCCAATAAATTAAGAAAACATTATAAATTAGAATATAAGCATTTTGAAGTCATCAATTTTACAGTCACTCTCTTCATGCTTGTTGGTTAGCGGGTGGACACGTTGATAGTTGCTGCTAAGGTCTGAAAGGGAGTTCACCAAAACATTTTATGTCATTTCGTCAGAGCATGCCACATCAACCAAGATTAATCCTTCCAGAAGTCAAGTTTGATCATGCTTCAAAATCTAGCTGGGATTATCTCACTGGAATGGCAATCATATCAGTGAAAAAGAGCCAGGGGAAGGCACCTTGAAATAACTGTATACAATATATAAAATAATATGCAGTTTCATTCATCTGTGGATACTAAAAATATTCTAAACCTTGAGTAGAAGTTCTGCTATAGTATCAAAATTTCAAGTGTCTAGGATAAAGATTTAATAATTAGAAAAATAGATTTGAATATTGGTGAGTATTAGCATTATATGATTTATGTGCCTGAGAATTAAATATGTAATGATACAGCTGTCTTTATTTTTGCTGCTAAATTGAACAAATTTGAATGTTAC